ACATGCAAGCAATCAATACTTTTTCACAGGTACCAATAAGTGGCAAATTCAGTGTTTCTTTCAGAGTCCCAAAAGTGTGTAAATATAAAGAGGATCAGGGGCATGAAGTGGGATGTTTCTAACTGTCACTTTCTCTTGAGCAGGAAGGGTGAGCTTTTTTTGCTCTTCCTACTCTCCTGTCATACTACAGTATATGCAGGCTTTCGTTGCAAAAAACAAGAGACATTGAAGCCCCCACCACCTCTATATCATGCATCTCTTTTGAGCATCCTGTATTGAATATGACTGATGAGTCCTATGAGCTCATGGTGTTCAATGCAATGTGAAGCTCATGAAGATATCAATATGTGTCCTGAACTTGAGATGAGGACATTCTTTCTTTATCTGGCTGAGGACAGATGTGTGTTACACATTATTCCTTTATGTGCTTTACCTTAGGAGACCTTTTCCAATGTCCCTGGAACACTTTCAGGGACACAACACTTCACTTGAATGTTAATTCATCAAATTCCATATAGAACTTCCAGGAGAAAGATGGAGTCATGACAGGACCCATCCTAAATTTATCTTTGCAATGATGTAACAAGTATTACAAGATTGTTTTAATGTAGTGGAGTACTGGAATAATAAAATGATGTAAAATATTCCAAAAATACATTTGATAATTTCAGAATTGTACTGCTTGACAGATGAGCATAAACTTGAAGTTTTTCTTGTCTTCAGGATTTCAATTTGAACCCTCAGTTCCTGATTCAGCATGAGATCCTGCCCTTAGAATGTGTTCTCATGAAAGTATAAATATACTGTACTTAATTCTATAGCAGTATATTTTGAACCAATTTTGACTGAGAAACTTAATGACCAGCATGGATTTTCATGGAACATTAGTTGAATTCTGGTCAATTCAAGTATTTTGTTCCTACTTTTGAAATATGGCCAGAGCATGGTCATTGGAAATTGCCTGCATGTCATACTTCAGGAATCAGGATGCAATTTTATCAACAAGTCACAATGAAATACCCTGGTGCATGTCTTATTTATGGGTGTGTGGTACACTGGTGCTTGAGTAAATACAGTGCTGCATATACCCATGCTATGATTAACAAAGAAACAAAACCCATTCAACCTCTAAAATATCCACAATGTGTCTGGTATATTTGATGCAAAATAATGAAGAAATAGGTGAAAAAAATCTTTGTTAGCACAAAATATTCAGCATTTGAACCCTGAATTAAAAATTGAATTTGTACAGCAGCTTTCGAATCATACATGTTGGGCTACAAGTCACAACTCCTAATGCAATGTATGATGCGCGTCCCCAGCTTTTGAGAGCCACATGATTTTCTGTTTCTCTCAGTTAGGTGTCGCTGCTCTTACTGCAAAAATGAAAACTTACCGCGTTTGATTCCAGCAAGCGTCGTACAGGCTTGTATACTGACTGTATACATGTAAATTAAAAACTCCTGTTTTGATAGTTTATTCTTTTCCAAGAATGAAAACCATAGAGTACTTGATCAATGCACATGCTTGAAACCTGGCAGAATCAGCCATCTTTAAAAAAAATTAACATCATGAAGAAAATTTAGGCTCTGCTTCAGGAATGTGAACATGGTTGTCTGTATCTTTTTTCCTTGTAAGATATACAGTATATGTTCATGCGACAGAGGAATGGCGTTTTCTTTTGTGCCAAACAGGATATTTTCGAGATATGGTTTAATTTTTTGCTCTGATGTCCTACTGGATATCCAGCAGTTCTTCTAATAATAGGAATTCCAAAACCATTTGTTCATAATTTCTTGTTATGGCCATCAGATAATCATGCTTCAAAATGTCCATATTACCATATTTAAAGGTACAAGGTGCAACTTTTTTCCAGAATTTAACCCAAAAAAGGGGTGTGTGAGTACCCATGGATAAAATTTCCATCAAACTTTTTGGAAAACCCTATGCGTGTGGTATGCAAGTACAGTAGATTAAAAAAGAATTGAAATGAAATGCATGGCGCCTATAGTCTAATCGTTTATGTGGGAATATTGTTTGAAGGGATAGCAGTTCAAAATATTAGTCTCAAGAAGTCAAGAAGGTCAATTTTCCTGGAATAATTGGAAAATTGTATCTGAGATGCAACAGGAAGTGAAGGATGTAGGAAATTGTCATTTATAATAGGGATAGTTGCCAGTAAATGCCAGAAGATTTTACTGCTGCTCCAGTAGACAATAAAAAGGAGGAAGGACAAACAATTATTTTTTAAAACAGATCCTAACAAGATAGGCATGAGCTTCTTTTCTTGGGTAAATTCATCAGGACTCTGGCCATTTGCAGCAGTGGGAGTTCACTACATCCAATTCCACATTGAAATGTTGTGTACATTGTGCTGAAAGTAATGAAGAAAGCATCTGAATTAAAAATACTTCTGCTGGTTCATTCAATTTTTAGTAATAAAGAATTATTTTCAAAAATATATTTTAGCCTGCAAAAACTGGGTTGTGCGTCATACACAGGGATGAGTTCTTCAGACTAATTTCTTCCAGAATTTTTGGGGTGCATGCCTTAGTCAAGGGCACATGGTACTCCAAGTAGATACGGTATATTTATGAAATTGTAACGTTTTCAACCGTTGGAACTCCTAAACATTTCTTCTGCAGCTCTATTTAACAATTATGTTTTGTGAATGTTACAAGGATTCTATTGTTACCAGTGTGAAACCCTCATATTTTCAGAAGTCCAGCACTTTAAATTGATTTAAGAAGATTCATATGCATTCAAGTGGGAAGCTTTGGCAAACTATCTACAAAAAAATTCGGGGGACCAGAAATATTCATTGTGGAGGGAATTTGCCTATAGAAGTGCCCCTTGGACATGGGGAGAAAACCAAATGAGACCATACAAAATATTGCTTCATGGAGGATTTTGTTGTAGACAAGAATATTGTAGGAAGACGTTTGACACCAAAATTGAATTTTGTGGATTTATAAAATTTTGAACCAAATGTTAGCCTTCGTAAATTTTCGAAATACTGTACACGCATACTCTTCAATTCGAAGAAATTCAATTGTGATTGGAAGATCATACAGAAATTCAAAAAATATGATGAGATCGTGGAATTCCGTGGGTTTAAAATTAATGGCCATGAAACGTGTGGAAAAACATACATTGTACATGACATATAATAGAAGATTGCGGGTGTCAATATGCACTTGACAGACGCATCACTTCTGTGAATATCCTGATAACGATGACTTGTCAGAGTTGTCACAGACTGACAAAGGAAAAAAAATTACAACAACCCATAATAGAATCACTTTTATCCCTTTTATTAATGATTTCATAGTTCTGTCATGAATATCAGCCTGTGTTGCAAAGAAAATCAGTCAAAACACGTAGCTCACATTGATCGATCCGCGGGAAGCTTTTCGAAGAAATTCATTTTGCCTTAAAGATGATAAAACTCATGACCTTTGCGACGTATGTAGCATTCATTCTTTACTATTTTTTTCACAAAGGTATGTATGTGTGGAAATACTGGGGAATTCGTGTAATTTTTTAATAAATAGGAAAATTCACAAAAGTTGGAAGAATTGAATCCTTGAAATTCATCTAGATATCTTGGAGAAGTGTCCGCATGTCGAGATATTGGCTGTTGGTCTGTGCATATTTTTGAGTTTCAAGTGTCCACAAGTGGAATATTACATATTTCAGGGTCCCACAGTATCAATTTGTTACTGCATGGTTCTTGGACATTCCAAAAAAAATTGGCAGTTGAAAAAATGGAAATTATCCTTGCTGATTTTACCATGTTTTTATGAACTCACTTTTCTTGTCTGTCTGTCTGTCTGTTTGTCCGGATCAAATTTTGAAACTCAAATTTCACTCACTTCCAGACTAGCTAGCAAGCTGAAACTTTCAGGATAGCTTAGAAACTGATGACAATGCAATCTTTTGTGAAAAAATTAATTTTAAGAATATTTTTTAAAAAGAATAAAATAATTTTAGTAGATTTCTATAATAAAACTTTGAGCAGGTTTTCCTTGGCCCCAAGAAAAAAACCCATGGTGAACTGAATTGGTCGCAGAGGTCCAAGTTCAATCCCACCCCCTGGAACATTTTTTTTTTCTAATTAATTAACACGTTTTTATTAACTCACTTTCTTGTCTGTTTGTTTGTCCGGATCAAATTTTGAAACTCAAATTTCACTCACTTCCAGACTAGCTATCAAGCTGAAACTTTCAGGATAGCCTAGAAACTGATGACAATGCAATCTTTTGTGAAAAAATTAATTTTAAGAATATTTTTTAAAAAGAATAAAATAATTATAGTAGATTTCTATAATAAAACTTTGAGCAGGTTTTCCTTGGCCCCAAGAAAAAAACCCATGGTGAACTGAATTGGTCGCAGAGGTCCGAGTTCAATCCCACCCCCTGGAACATTTTTTTTTCTAATTAATTAACACGTTTTTATTAACTCACTTTCTTGTCTGTTTGTTTGTCCGGATCAAATTTTGAAACTCAAATTTCACTCACTTCCCGACTAGCTATCAAGCTGAAACTTTCAGGATAGCCTAGAAACTGATGACAATGCAATCTTTTGTGAAAAAATAAATTTTAAGAATATTTTTTAAAAAGAATAAAATAATTTTAGTAGATTAAAAAATTAATCTAAAAAACCACGTTTTCAAAAAGCAAAAAATAACCTTAAACGTGGTGCGCATAGAGATTGTTGGGAAGAAGTGAAATACAAATGAAATAGATGCGCACCAGGTTTAAGGTTATTTTTTGCTTTTTGAAAACGTGGTTTTTTAGATTAATTTTTTAAAGACACACTGTTTGTGCAATTAAATCAGGGAAAAAGCGTTAGTATTCATTTGAATTTACAAAAACGAGCCATTTTATGAGCTAAATGCTAAATGCCTGTGGATTGACTTATATTTCTTCAATTCAAATCCTGCACATTTTTTTCTCATCAATCATGTCCACCCATTATTTTATTTTATTTTTTATCAGCGCAAGAGACGACAGAAAAATTTCCAACTTGTTGTCTACCATCGCATCCTTGTCCGGACTTAAGGAATACATGTCCCATTCTTCCTGTCTCCAGTGCTGGCGAAGAGGAGAGTCCTGACAAACCGGAAGATGAACTTCCGTGTTGCAGAGTTGCCATCGACGCAAGAGGCTTTTTCATAGTCTGTCACACTGAATTTTGTGACGCTGCGCAGAACATTGAAACCTTACCACAAGACTTCGAAGTAGCCTCATGCTGTCACACCCACGAAGATGGACATGTCGCTTGTGACCAGTATTCCTGCATGATTTCACCAAGGATGGGTGAACCCGATTTGAAAGGACCAAAGATTCCCATGGGGGAATTGGAAAACGGGGTCGCTCACTTGCACAAGTGTTGCTTCCCCTCATGTGCCATGCTTGGGTGCATTCCGAGTTGTTCGTACCCATGCGGCGTTTGATCCCAGAAAGAGAACCCAAGCATGGATACCGACCAAGAAAATCCACAGGTGCATGACAAAACCAACATCTTATGACTGAATGTCCGAACTGTCGTCGACTCTCCTGTATATTCAACTGAAAATATCTGTTTTACCAAATCCGCCGCATGAAGATTTACTCTCACAATATCTGGACATTCCTTGTGCAAGAAAATAAATTCTTGAAGAAAATGTAGCTCTCTTAAAATTTACGAGAATGGTTTCCTTTTCTTCATTTTTTTCTGATTGCTCCACTCAAGAATAAAAATTATGAGCAACCAACTACCCTGTAAGGTTTTAATTCTAGAATGGATTTTTTCAAGCCTTACACCTTGAATTTCTTATTTAATTTACAGCAGAGTCTTGGAAAACAAAATTCGGATTGATTGAATAAAACACGGCAATTGGTCGGGCGCGAACCGACCGGGATTTCTACCAACTAGTGCAGACCTTTCTTTTCAGAACAAACAGTACAGGGTATTAAAATTGGCACAAAAGACACAGTACACAACAAACAGTAAAAAAGGCTTCACATACACATACACTCAGTCACAGGTTATGGCAAATATTCTCAAAGTCTTTGATACAACAAGTGTTCCAATAATGGAAAGAATAAAGGGAGAAGGATCTCAAGTCAGATTTTTAGGGAGTCCTTTTGATCTAAATATTTCCAGTGATGGAAAAAAATAAAGCAGGGTCTCAATCACTCAGGGAAATAAGGTACAAATAAAATACTCAAAGGGCAGTGATGGGACTTGAGGAGAATTCCCGAATTTCCTCAGAGTTCCTTTTTTCAGATATTTTTCTAAGTCCGCAAATGTGTCCCGAAGTTTTTCTCAGAGTCCAAAGACTTGTTAAGTTCCGAAATTTTGTCCGACAAATTAGCTCAGAGACTCTCAGGATTCGACTGACTGTCTGTTGCGTCAAATTCCGAGATTTTATGGGTTTTTGCGCCAGTTTTTGGCGGGAAAAACTTTTTGGGGTGGCAAGTTCAAAACACCAGGTGGTGGCGTCTGTTGTTAACGAATTTTGCAACTTGATTTTTACAGCTCTTTTACAAGGTTCGGAGCATGTTTTCCCGAGTTGTCGTAAATGGTTTTCCTGTCACCGGGTGTCTTTTAGTTGTATCGCGTTTCGGGATTTTTCAGCAGAAAAATAATATCCCAGAGGATTGACTTGCACAAGATTTTGACAGCGCGACATCGTTTTGCTTTGAAAGACGAATCGTTTCTCGAGAAATACGAACCGATTTAGGACGCGCCTTGCCGACAGCTGGCNGAAATACGAACCGATTTAGGACGCGCCTTGCCGACAGCTGGCCAATTTTTCGCGATTCTTGAGGGGTCGAATGACCCCTGAGTTCTGAGAAGGGTGGATATCCTTTCGCGAAAGAGGGGGGGATGTCTCTTTCGGCGATTGTTTTGTCCCGATTTTGGGAGTTCTTTTCTTTTCTTTGGCGAGTCGGTTTCGCCGATTTGTCTTAATTTTAGCAGTCACCCCAGTTGCTGGCGTTTTCTTCCTTATCTCTCGTTTGTTTCGGCGCATCTCGGGATGTGCCGATTAAATTACATTTTCGGCTTCTTTGGTGCCTCTTTTTATCTTTGAACGTCCCATTTCTGGGGGATTTTTTTGGTTTCTTTGTTTCTAATAGTTTTCCGCGCATTCAAGAAATGCGCGGATTGAATTGCGCGTCGGCATGTTCCTTTCGGATTTGGTTTCAAAAGGGGAGTTATCAAAAAATTTCGTACATCAAGCTCTCTTTCAAGCAGAACTTTTTTGAGCATGCAAAAATTGTATGAAAATTTGCTGGTCTGCAGAAAATTGTATGAAAATTTGCTGGTCTGCAGAAAATTGTTTGGAAATTTGCTGGTCTGCAGAAAATTGTTTGGAAATTTGCTGGTCTGCAGAAAATTTTTTGGAAATTTGCTGTTCTGCAAAAAGTTTCATGGAAATTTGCTGGTCCATGGGACCAAACAGGTTGGGGAACACTGCTCTAGATGACCAGTGCTTCTACCCAGAATCATTGGATTTCAAATGAAATTTACATGCAGCTATGTAATGTGATGCATCTTTGGTATAACCCCCCAATGGAAGCAAAAGGCAGCAGGAAATGAGACCTTTCTGTTCCAATAATTTCGCGTGTGGCTTTTTCAAAGCTGGGAAGCTGCTGCAGTCCTGTCTGCCAAATAAGAGAGAAAGAGGAAAAAAAGATGCAAACGGGGTCTTTGTTTGTGTTGGTTTGGTTGGGATCCTCTATGGGTCACAGC